CTGCGGCAGTGGGGAGGGCAGTCGGGTGGCGAGAACGTGTTGGTGCCTCGCACGTGTGGTTTGTGCATCCGTCCAGGGCACGAGCGTGCCATGGGGAAGTCGGCAAGGAGGAACATGCCTGCCTGCTGCACGGGAAGCGGGGAGGCAGCTTTCCGCAGGCAGCGGCGGACGGGCTGCGTCTGCCTGCTCCCCAGCAGCTCCGCCATCCCAGGGGAGCGGGAGGAGGGAGGGCGGGAAGGGGAGTTAAAAATAGACTCCGATTCTCCCGAGAGGAGACATGGAGCCATTCCTGGCACATTTCCTCCTCATCCTGTCACGTTGCTTGCAAAACAATCCCGCGCGAGGAAGGGGCTGGCTCGTGGCCCCCGGGCAGGCTGTGAGAAGGAGCTGCCGGAAGGCAGAGGGGGCCGATGGGCAGCATGGGCAGGGGCCCCACAGCGCCTACACCGCTCACCCTGACACCCACTGGGACCCCCCCAGTTCATACCAGCCAACATGAGCCCAGAGATGGGGAGGTACCAGCATTGGTGACCTGCTTGGCCAGGGGCTGTTCATGGGGGCATCTGGGAGCCACCACTTTTGGCTGCTGGTCCTAAAATTAACTAAATTATGGGAAATATTGCCTTTGGTACCTGTGTGGGGTCAGCTGTCTCCCCGGGATTTTGGAGCAATTAGCACACAAGCATTACCCAGTGTGAAACACGCTTGCTGAATCCACCAAGCCCAGCCCCAGCAACCACTGATCCCATTGGGGAAACCCCAGCACGGGGAAGGGAAGGCCCAGCAAGGCAGCGATGCTCGTCTCGCAAAGCCATGCAGCCAGCATCCCACCGCTGCACCCACAGGCCCATCACTACACCCAGCATCCCATCGCTGCACCCAGGGACCCACTGCTGCACCCGAAGTCCCATCAGTGCACCCAGCACCCCACTGCTGCACCTCCTGCCCTGGCCCCTTCCTTCCAGCCTTGAGGCATTCAGCCCCATCCCTGCCTCGCAAGGGTGCTGGTGGGGCACAGCGGGACTGTGCTTCCCAGTTCTCTACTTTCTGGTGTGTTATAGGGCTGGGAGGAAGTGTGGGGCTGGGTGCTGCGATGTGCTCTGGGAAGCCGGGATGTGGGATGTGCCCCTGCCACCATCCCAGGTCTGGGAGCTCATTCTGCAGCAGCTGGATGTTTGGGTACAGAGTTCCAGGCAGCCTGTCTCCGAAGGACCCCAAAACACCCGCTAGCCAAGGTGATGGATGGACACCATCCAAGGATGCACTGGATCTCCTGGCCAGGGGAAACAGGCCCTTGACCTGCCAGAGGAGGGAAGGCAGTGAAGCACAGTCCTTCCTTTTAAAATATCCTGAATATTTAAGGTAGGCGAGGTCACAGGCAGGTTACTGGCGACCGGCCCGTGCCTACTCAAGCACATCAGAAAGCAAAGCACGTGCAGGGCCAGCACCTCTCCCAAAATACCCATCCCCTGGGTACCACGGGAGCTCCCGGTGCTCGGGCGCCCCGCGCCTCCGAGCCGGCTCCCCTCACCCATCCTGTTTACACACTGCGCTTCCCCAGCAGACGCCATCCCCGGCACCCAGCAAGGAACTGGGCGTGTGTGCTAGGGCTGGTCTGGAGAAAATAACTCATGCAACAACAGCGAGAAGGAAAGGAGGCGAGAAGAAGAGTAACCCTGCGCTGGGCAGGCCAGCTGGGAGAAGCGTGTGTAGGCACGGATGCATTTGGGTGTGTTTTCACCCAAAACCCTTGGCCAAATGCTCTGAAATCTGAACCAGACCTGAACTCCTTCAGAACATCATGACTCAAACCAGCAAATATGGAAAAGGGTTTGGTTTGTTTTCCCTTGGCAAAATCGAGAGCCCACTGAAGGCAACCCAACACGGACGCTGCCAGCCCCCGGTCTGAGCGGGAAGATGCGTTTCGGTAAAATAATGACTCGAGGTGGGGAGATGGGATCTGGAGCTGGACATGAGGAGTTCACCCTCCCCTCTCACCACCAGCTTCCTTAGGAGTTTGAATGCTAATGGAGCTCTAGAAAAAAAATTATTTTTAAAAGGAAAAAAAAAGCCTAGATTTGAGGAAATATCCTGAACAGAAACAAATTTAAGCAAATAACGCCCCAAACCAAACGGGGGAGGTACCTCCCCAAACGCATCTGCAGTCCAAGCAGTGTGAGACTATTCATCCCTCTTGCGTAGTTTTGCCATTTAAAGCCGTTGTGTGTGACTCTCTCTTGACCAAAATAAACTCCGTGCCTGTTTCTAAATAATTTAAAAAAAAAAAAAAGCTCTCAAAGCATTTCCCCTCTTGCCACACCCAAAAAGTGCAGCTATTTTCTGTGTCCTTTGTTTAAACACAACGACCTCTATATATCCTAGAAGATGCCCCGTGGCAGTTGGGAGATCGGAAACGAGAGCTCTTCAGCAGCTCAAGAATTTGCCATGAAGCTCTTTTCTTTCCCCAAACTACGAACCCGTGAGCCACAAAATTTGGCTGGGAATTTTCCCAAAGAATAAGACATTGAGTGCAGGGCCACATGATCTGTGCCCAGCGACCGAGTTGTGCAGCCGCACGGAGCCGTGTGCGTGCTTCAGCTCTTCCTCCGCCGAAACCATTGCACGGGGACTAGAGCCGGCGGGTTTTGATCTGGTCTGGAGATAAGGAGCCGGAGTCTTGTTTTTCTGGCATGCTGCTCGCCGCTGCCCCTTCCCTTTGCAGCTCCCTGTCTTAGCAAACCCTCTTTGGGATGCTGTCACCCCTGCTTCACAGGTGGGGAAACCGAGGCACGGGGAGAGCGACGTCCCCGAGGAGGCAGCAGCCCTGCTAGCAGACACGGACGGCACAAGTCGGGCACAGGCAGACGTGACCTTCAGCAAGGTCACGCGGGAAACTGGAGCCAAAGCTGGGAATAGATCCTGGGTATTGCAAGACCCAGGCTAGCCGCTCAATGGCTTTCCTGGGTTTTTTCCCCCTCCCTACAACAGACAGCACTTTTTAACTATTATTCATTGTCAATAAGGGAATCATTTTCCTATTATTAACTTTCATCTTCATAAAACATTTGTCCCCATTCTCCTCCAGCTGCATCAAACACTCAGACCAGTGCAAATACCAAACATCCCTAGGAACTTCACTGCTGTTTTCCATCCTTTTGGCAAGCCAACAGCAGCAACCTCCAGTTATACCAGCAAACACCCATGCCCGGATGTGGCCCGGAGGGGCAGGTTTGACACGCCGGGAGCTGCGGATGCTGAAAGCATCCCACCGTGCCGCCAGCCCTCGTAATATTTTCCTGTTGCGTTTTATCACCCAGCGCACGGGACTCCTCAAGTGCTGCTGCTCGGCCGGGGTACGTCTGCAGCAGCCCGACAGCTAATAACGGCTTTTGCTGATACGACAATATCAAGAAGGGCTGTGATTTTAACATTTCTAGACCGCAAAATGTCCCCGAGCAGAAACAATTACAACAGCGCGGAGGTGGGTTTTTTTCCCAGGATAGCTCATTTGTACCAGAATAAACTGTACCAGCATAAGCTTTCGCCAGTATAATCTTCATTTACGCTTAAGAGGCTTTGCCAGTAAAACTGCAGTGACCTAGCTCTGCTGGAAAACCTTTTCTCGCATATCCAGGGAGTTTACTCAGCAGCTCGGTGGCCCGGCAGTCTGCCTCTGCGAGAGGGGAAGTTCAGAAAAAACACATCTCAAGGCACAACCAGGCTCCCGGACCTGTGCTTATCTGCAGCTGAGGAGGGTTGCAGACCCCGGTAACAACCCCACAGCCCATCCGAGTGGGATCAGAAGGGTTTGCAGGCACCCCAGGGCTCCGGGGAGCCGTCATGGTGCAAGCACCCACGCGTCTGGCCCCGATGCCAGCCGAGATTTGGAAAGCCGCCCGCACCTCTCTGCTTCCGCTTTCTTTTTTTCCCCCTTTTTTTTTTCTCAGCACTTCTTCCTCCTTAATCAGAAAGCAGATCAATTCTGAGTATTAAACAGCAGGAAATTCTAAATTTGGGTTGCCACTCCCTTCCTCAAGTCAGGCCTTCGTGTAG